AGCGAAGAGAATGGATTGCCTCCACCAAAAAAAAAAAAAACAAAAAAAAAAGAAAAAAAAAAAGAAAAAATTGGGGAGAAGAGGAGAGGAGCTCCTATGTAGAAGGGAATCTTGCCCGGGTGTGCCAGATCTTCTCCAACCGCCGAAGACGAACGCCTCTCGGTGTAGAGGTTAGTAGAGACGCGGAGGGGGCTAGACGAACCAAGGGAGCCTGCCAAGATAAACCTGTTTATCCCACAAACGACCATGGATCGATGGACGTGGGGTAACAAAATCGGGGACCCGTGAGGGTAGACCTGTTCGTCCCTGCGAGTCCTTGGGTACCGAACGTCCTCTTCGAAGCAAGAAACGTCGGTAAGGCTAAAAGGACCACGGACGAACGAAAAAAGGGGGGAATCTCGATGTAGATAAACCTGTTCATCCTTGTGATGTCGGCGGACACCGAACGTCTCCTCGAAGTAGGGACGCCGGTGGGACCAGGGACCAAGGACGAACGAAGACTAAAAGACTCCAAAAAAAAAAAAAAAAAAAATGCCTGAAGAGCAAGGAGCAAAGAATGACTCTTTTTATTCTTCGGCACTATTGGCCGGGAAATTGCAAGACAATGAAAATAGTGGGAAAAATTGTACAAGTACAAGGTCATGAACAGAGAATCACTGTCGATCGACGTCCGGAGCCGGAACTTTGGAAAGAGCCTGCTTGCATTCTTCACTAGCTTTGGCTTCCGCCTGCTCTCTCAGCAGCTCAAGGGCTCCCGCATGGGCATCAGCCATCAGGACGTCGAAGCCAGCCGCCTCCGGATCGAAAGGAGCCCCGAAATGACGCTCGAACGTAGGGAGATTCTCCGCTACGAGCCCGACCATGCCCTTACGATAGGTATCATCGGCGAGATCATCAAGGAAACGCCGTCCGGTGGGGGTGGCCTGGAGCAATTTGACCCCATCCAGGTAGGCATCCGGGCAGGTGGCTAGAAATTCTCCGACGAGCCTCGGGAGAAACTTCATGGCCATGGTGTGGATGGCACCAGTGTAAGCCTTGGATTTCTGGAAGGCAATGGAACCAGACTCCTTGATTTTGGCAACATCGGCCTCATAAATAGGGACTTGGTTGTCCATGCCCGTCTGGCGAAGCTCCACCTTAGCCTGCTCCACGGCCCACATCCGGCTGCGGAGATCCACGAGCTCGGCCTCCTGTTTCTTGAGAAGCTCCTTCTGAGAGGCATTCTCCTGAACAAGCTTATCATAGGCATCGGCCTTCTCTTGAAGAGTGCCAGCCCTGCCTTTTGCATTCCTCAGAAGGGCGTCGCATTCGGCCCGCACCCTGGCCATCTCCCTGCCTTGGTGCTCGAAAGCCATCCGGGCCCTGTGAAAATAAAGCCCGGCCTTATCCAAGGTGCTCTGACCGCACTCCAAGAGATCCTCAGGGGCCTCCTGAGCAGCGAAATCTTGCGGGACCTTGAGATTCAGCCCGCACCAGATGGAGGACGCTGTCTGGCCGAAGAGCATCATTGACTCTTTGCGGGGACCAACCCCGGAGAACTCAATCAGGCCAAGAGAAGACCCACTGGCTTCGGGGGGAGAGGTTGGACGGGCGTCGTCAGAACCTCTGGCGGTTGTGGCATCATCATCCCGGAGACGGCGGACGTCGGAATTCCTCGGAGGAGAGGCACGGAGATTGGTCCGAGAAATGCGCTTCCGTTTGAGGGGACTTCCGGGCTCCCCATCAGAGTCATCGGCCACTATAATGGCCTTGGAGGCAGTACCCTCGGCACGCAGCCTCTTGGAGGCGCCAGCTCCCGAATCACCCTCCGCCCGTGCCCTGGTCACCCGAGTCTCGACCTTAGGGACGAGCGGAGTCCCGGATTTATCACGCCCCTTGTGCTCACGGCCGGTGGCGGTCGAAATGGCGTTGACTCGGCTCATGGCGGACGTGGATGGAAAAACTCCTGCACCAAGGGAACCAAGACGTTCAGAACCATAACAGCAGAGGGATGTTAAAACAATACAAGTACAAACGGACGCACCTAATCCAGCCCGAGCTTTAAAGGGCTCGGCCACCAGCAACCGGAGGTTCTGGATGCCAAGTCCGGCTATGCGCTTGGCATATCCAAGCTCCTCGTCCGTCATGGGCGGCGGGATCGTCTTCACGGGTAAGCGTTCCACCGATCAGAGAAAGGCATCGGTGAGCCTACTCCAGCCAGGAAGAAGCGTTCTTCCCAACCGTCTGGATTCCCGGCATTGTTCGAGAATAGAACCATGGACGGACGGGCAATCAGGGTCAAATATCCCGTGCGTCCGAAGGTGGACAGACGGAAGAAGTAATGCAGCAGGTCCACGGTGGGGGTCACACCGACGCTGTGGCATCTGATGATGAAGCCAGCGATTATCCGATAGGCGGCAGGAACGAGCTGCGCAGGCACAATCTCAAGGGCCCTGAAAAGTTCCAAGTGGAAGCTGTGCAGGGGGAAGTTCAGCCCGACTATCACCGAATCTAGATGAACCACCACATAGCCGGGCAAATGGCGCATGGGGTTCCGAAGACGCCGATCGTCGTAGGTCCTTGGGGGATAAAACCATTGACTGATCAGTCGCTTGTCAGCGTTCGTCAGGCGTTGAACTTGACGCCGAACGCAAGAGAAGTTGAGGCTATAACGGGGAGGCCGGGGTGGCATTCCCCGCTCATAAAACTCCAGATCATCACCGGAAGAACATCCATCATCAAAACGACTTTCGGAAGACATGGCAACGAACGGTACCTTTGGGGTTCGAGATCTCCGATATGGTTAGAGAGAAGTCTAGAGAGAGAAGGCAATTGTGCAGCGTAAGGAAAAAGGTGAGTGGATCACTTGGACCCTGGGTATTTATAGGCAACACCGCGGGATCACCCCAACCGAGGCAGGACACGTGGCGCTTAAGTACCGGCACCTACCACGGTATTTAAGGCGTCTCGATTTTGTCGCCGCATAACCACCACAAAGACATCCGGGACCGTGCCACGAACGTCCCTTGAGGAGGGCTCACCGGCTCGGAGGAATTTAAAGACATTCGCCTTCCCTTGCTTCCTTAATCCCCCGGCTGACCCTAGCATCGGCGGCTGATGAGGGCACACGCATCAACTGGCTACGTCCGTCTCGCAGCACTCCAGTTTTCATGACACGCAACTGTAGACGAACGTCGTCACCGGGCGCTGTGTCAGGGGAATACGCCCATATGACCATACTCGAGACGCGTACTAACAAGGCAACTACCGACGAACGTCATCCCATTGTCAAGATACCACGTGAGCGGTAAAGATGTGTCGAGGCGCCGGAAGGGTTCCCTATACTACAAACGATGGACTCAAAAAGGATGAAGTAAAAATCACGTCCATTAGTGGCGCACGGAGGATGAACGTCGCCTTTCCACTTCATGCCAGATGAACAGGCGGGACGGACGGACATCCTTGCGCGAAGCTTTAGCGTTCATACAGCGCGACGATGGAGGAACGTCGTCTTGCCATCAGAATGCTGTTGCAGGAGGGACAGCCAGTATCGGCGCCAGGGGTCACCAACCAAAGGCGGACCTTAACACTGGCGCCGCACACTAAATGTGTACACGGTTTTGGCAAAGAGACGCCCCTACCCCCGGACCAAATGGGGAACAGAGACGAACGTCCACGCAGACTATGCGACAGAGAATATCGAAGTACAAAGGGAGTTTTCCATACAACAAAGGACGAAGGGAAGAAAAGTAACAAGTAGAGATCACGAACATGGAACAATTATGGGCAAAAATTGTATATATTCTTCGGCTCTAACGGCCGGGCATTACAAAAGCAAAATGGGAAGGTTACAATTTACAGTTACACCATGAAAGGGGACTCCGGCCGGCTGCCTCCCGGGATCTGCTCCTCCTCCTCGGCTTCGGGCTCGGGGGTCGGGGGTTCCGGAATTTCCCCTCTAGCCTTGGCCTCCTCCCGCCGTTGGTCCCTCCTCAGCTTCCCCAAAGCTTGGATTAGCAGATCATCATCGGTGTTGGCGGCCAAATCAAAGTCAGCACCCTGCAGCTTGGCAAATATCGGGAGAACGGCCTTAATCCCCTCGTTATAGCCGGCGGCGAAGGTGCTGTCGCCGACCTCATAGAGGAACTTGTGGGACAGGGGAGAGCTCTCGAGGATCCGGACGCCGCAGGCCAGACGCTGGCGAGGCGGTATCTTTTCCAAGGCCGCAGAAAACACGTCACCGAAGGCCCCGGCGCAGTAATCTCTGGCAGAGTCCATAAACTCCCCAGTGTTCCGGTAGCCGAAGGTGTCGACCAGCCACTCCGGACTCGCGTCCTTTGCAACAGGGTGCACCGGGACGAGCTTAATGCCAGCTTTTGCAAGGCTGGCCAGCTGGCAGCGGGATTCAGCCTGCAGGGCTGCTATCTCCCTCCCCTTGGCCGCAGATTCCGCCTCAGCTCGACGGACGGCTTCCCGGGCCGTAGCAGCGGCCTCCCGGGCTGAAGCGTCGGCCGCGTCGGCCTTAGACTTGACCTCCCTCAGGTCAGCCTCCCTGGCAGCCTCAGCTTGAAGGACTAGAAGCCCAGACTGGAGAACAGAGGAAAATAAAGGCAATGGTCAGAAGATGAACGTCAAAGAAAAACGCACTCAGATCTAGCAAGGGGGAATTACCTGAAGAGCGGCTGCCAGGGCAGCGCTGGTCGCCTTAGAAGACGAACGGCTGGGCAGCTCTAGGCCAGCCTTGAGGGCCAACTCCCTCCAAAGCTCTTCCGCCGGACGGCTCAATGGCAAGGAGCCGGCATCTTCAAGCAGGGGCCCGGTGGAGACCGCCTCGCGGCCCCTCTTTTGTTTCTTTTCGGGGGCCTTCTCCGTCCCCTTTTGAGGGGCCGCCTTCGACGGGACGACCGGCGGTGGAAGGGCAGCTTCAAGAGCAGGGGCCCCGGAACCCTGAGCCAGCATAGTGGCAATCAGGTGCTGCTCACCCTCGGCGGTTCGCCGGGCAGCGTCAGAAGCCGAGGAGCTGGACTCCGGGGCGGGGGCATTCTTGGCTTTCGCCAGTGCGGCTTTAGCAGCGGCCGCTTTGGCCTTCCTTGTCTTCAAACACTCGGCGTGATTCATCTGGTCTCGATCTGGCGGAGAACCTGCAAGAAACAACAAGGATTAGAAGACGAGCGGGAAGTAGAATAAGACACTCACCCCGAAGGACAGGAGCGCCCGGTGCCCCGAGACGAGCGTCGAAGGGTAGAAAAAATCCAGGGACACGGGCGGTACCTATGCCTGCCCCGGAGAGTGCCTCGAAGGTCAGATACCCGGCTATGGGACGGACGCCACCCTCCAACACCTTCTCCGCATCCAAAAGCAGATCGTCGGTCGGCTCCGGTGACTCAATCTTTGGGGGATACCCATTCCACCGGAGAGGGAGAGGAGGCCCGTCGTATCGAAGGAAGAAGAAGCGGTTCTTCCAGTCGTGGATGGACGAGGGGTAGCTCTTGAACAGCCGCCTCCCAGGACGTGCGGCCACGCTCAGATACCCGTCGGCATTCTGGGGAGTGACGCGGTAGAAATAGTGGAAGAGCTCCAGAGTGGCATCGACCCCCGCAAGTTTGCAGCGCACCAAGAAGGCCGAAATGAACCTATAAGAATTTGGCATGAATTGCGCCGGGGCCACCTGGAAACAGTGGAAGAACTCCACATAGAACGCATGAAGTGGAAACCGCAGCCCGGCTTCAACGGAATCCAGGTGAAGCATGATCATCCCCGGACGTCTCCTCATCACATGCTCAGCACCTCTCACACTCCAGACGAACGGTGGGGGAAGGAAGGTACGGATTTTATTGAGGGCCACGCGGGAGAGGACTTGGTCGTGGTCAAGGGCGCTCCTGATCGGGCAGATGTGGCGCTCCATATCTGTGGGGATGCCCAGATCGTACACCTCCATATCAGAACCAGATTCGGCTTCCTCTCCAGAATCATAATCAGCAGGACGCTCATTCAGGGGGACCGCATCGATAACGTCCACTGCCTCATCGGCATCCCCACCCCTGCCGCTGCTCCCACTACCTCGGGAAGCACTACCCGGCTCACCATCAGCCCGGATGGTTCCCACCGTCGTGGCCGAACCCGAGTTCCCAGAAACACTAGTTTTGCCCAGGGAGCGTGCATTCGCATTTTCAGAAGAGGAGCCCGAGGAGGAACCCGACGAACTGGAATCAGAACTTGAGGAGATCTCCATCGAAGTCATTCCGACTAGAAATCAGAGTAAAGAAAAGAAGCAAAGGGGGGAAATTACCTTACAAAGGGGTTAGCCGAATTCAGGAGACTTGAAGAGCTGCGGAAGATCGAGGGCAAGAGAGCAGAAATTGGGAACCCTAATTCAGAGGGAAAACCCAGCATTTATAGGAGAAACACCGATGGAGAAACCAACGAGGGGCTGACACGTGGCAAGGAGCGTATTCCGGCCCACGCGCTGTGCGTGGGATGGGAACGTAATGATGACACTTCCTCGGGAAAATGCGCCGCCGCAACATCAGCCGTCACCTCGTTTCCTGAACCGTCAACAGCTGTCAAGCACCAGGACCACGAACGTACGCTTCCACCAGGTGCAATAAACACAAGTACCAGGATACAGACATCTGCTTCGGGGAGGTTCATACTTCCTTATGTCCTGCGCATGCTCAGAACATCAGAAGTGGGGGACTTGTGTTGGGTTAAGGGCCCAAGCCGAGGTCCGGCCCACTAACCCATTTTGCCAGACGAACGTCCGGTTAGAGCACTAGGCCAGCCCACAGGCCCATATTCCTTGAGGATGGACGAACGTCTGGTGTTGGGGGGCTCAGGCCCAGCAGCTCATCCCGACGAACGTCTATGCAGGGACAAGGAGCAGAACCACGGGCCACCAGGGCCATCGGAGGAAACCCAGTCCACGGGCCACCAAGGCCAGGAGACGAACAGCCGGTATCACCTGAGGGTCACTTGGAGCGATCCAACTCACTTCCTGGGTGGACGAACGTCCCCACTGATCTGGCGGGAAACCTAGATTCTGGCGGGAAGTGCATTTAATGCTAAAGATTTGGTAGTTGGGACACCAGCGGTCCACAGGCTGCCACGTCACTACAGCCACCTGCCCATTGGCGGGTATAAATAGAAGCATTTATTTCATTGTAAAGGGTTGGCAACTTTCTATTCTTAGCATACTAGCTTCAGCATTCTTACTCGCAGCATTTCTAAGTGCCTTGTAAGACGAACGGCCGACGTGCCTTTTTAGCAAGTAGATTGTATTTAGGGGAGTTATTACGGAGTTAATAATACATATTTACATTGCCTGCTATTTCTCTTGTTTCCTGATCCATCTGAAAGTTGTTGGGCTAGATATCCACACACTCCACTCGAAATCTTTGGGCTTACGTGTTGGGTCCAAGGGTTGAAGGAATAAACCTCAACAATACCAAAATTCATGATTTTTTTATCTTTCATTTGGCACTAATATTGGATATATAAACTTTATAAAAAATTAAAGGCTTATTAAACAATATTCTTATTTTTCCAATCTCCGTACGGATGATTTCAAAAGAATAATTACACACATATAACTAAAATAAAGATTGTTTACAAAATTATGACTAGGGTAGTAATGAAATTATACCAATCTATGTTCAATTTTAAAATTTAAGTTAGCATGACACTACATTGTAGCAACTATTTGTCATATTTGTGTAAATGAACTTTGTTTTATTTAATTTTAGCAAAAAGAACTCTTATTTAATATTATATAAACAAATAATTCCTATTATATGACGAAAGTAAATATAGGGAATGAAGACGGAACTTGGTAATTTTTAAAACTTAAAACTTAAACCATTGTTCTACAAATTGCTATAGGCGTCCAACTAGAAAATCATAAATCCATAAAATCATTTTAGTTTATCTTAGTAATTTTTTCATATAATTTTTCTTTAATTTATTATTAAAACATATTTTAAATATAATTTTTTCATACATCTGCAGAATCAGCTAATTTAGCACTTCAACCAGAACTTCATAAATTTAAGGAGAACCGGTCAATACAACCGATTTGGTCATTTGGATTTATCAAACGGGCTCATAAAATCATAAAAAACCACATTCGTTGTCTAAGTGATCATTGCAAAAATACATACCTTGTTTCGGTACACCGAAATTTTACATATACACATGACAGTGTTTTTTCCCAACCATAGTTGCCGCACCTCTCTTCACTTCTCCTCATAATTTCCTCTCCTCTTTATTTCAAGGGATATTTTGAGTTTGCACCCTATTTTATTGTCTAAATTAGACTTTGCACCCCGTTTTTGAAATCTTTAGTATTTGCACCCCAACCCCGTATGAAAAGACTAAAATGCCCCTCCACTAACAATTTTGTTTGTCTTTAACATATTCCTGATTGAGGGACATTTTTGTCTTTTCATAAGGGGTTGGGGTGCAAATACTAATGATTTCAAAAACGGGGTGCAAAGTCTAATTTGGCCAATAAAATGGGGTGCAAACTCAAATTATCCCGGGTTCCCTTATTTCAATTACATTTTATCTCTTTTAAAGCAGTATATTAGTTAACTTTTCCCTTTAAGCCTTAGAAAAGCGTTACAATTTTGATATCAGACTATCAGAACATAGGATATCGTGTAACTTCATTTGCCACTGGGCACATGCTCATCATCACCCAACAAAGTATTTAAAGTTAAATTTTATCCATGAGTAAGAAAAGTTCATGAAATGGAGAATTAGAGTGAGAATACTTGTGCGTAACAATTTTGTAAACAATCTTTATTTTAGTCATATATGTGTAATTATTCTTTTGAAATCATCCGTACGGAGATTGGAAAATAAGAATATTGTTTAATAAGCCTTCAAATTTTTTTAAAGTTTATATATATAATATTAGTGTCAAATGAAAGATAAAAAAATATCATGAATTTTGGTATATTGTTTTAAAAAAAATGGAGCAAAAACGAAAAAGTTATGGACTGTTAAAGAAAAAAGTGTTTTTTATATTCAATGGGGCCCACACTTATGCTTTCCTTCCTCTTGCGTTTGAAGTTCGTATTTGTCATGCGAGAGTGGCCAAACCATTTGGGGCGACTTCAAAGTGGTCAAACCGTTTGGCGACTTTGTCCTACCATGATTAGACTCAGCAGTATTTTGGTAAATACTTTTAACATAATCTTAATTTCGTAAATATTTTTTTATTTAACATTAATTCAAAAAAAACCTCAGCACCGATGAACGAAAAAAGTAGAGGGAAGAGGACAAATTGGTCCAGTTTTGAAGAAAGTGAGGTGCGCCAAGTTCGTCCTCCATAAAAAAGTAGAAAACCCTAGGCAATCGATCTGCTGAGAAGGAGAAGATGGTGTTCTACTTCAAAGCCCGTCCCGAAGCGGGAGATTACACCATCTTCATGGGTCTTGACAAATACGAGAACGAAGATCTCATCAAATACGGCTTTCCCGAAGATATCTGGTTTGTTCACGCCCATCCTCTTATCTTTTTCATCCTTCAAACAATTCATACGTATCTTACTCACGAACCGCATATTTCGCGTTCCTTGTTTCTAGTGGATCATCTTTGTTTCAATCGTAATGTTTTTTAGTGTATTCGTTTGTATTCCATTTCCTTTTTTATGTTTCTGTTTTGCATTTGAATATGAGATGCTGTTGTAAAATTCAAAACAAAACTAAACAAGTTTGGTAAATTTGTGGGTTTTATCTCTTATTTATCACAGGTGGTCAATGTCGAGGTTACAGTTGTTCATTTTATATGTTGTTTATTATAGCAGTAGCTTGCATTTACTTAATTCAGAGCATGCTTAAAGAGTACTTGTCATGGTAATATCTTTTATGCGGGCTTTCAATGCATTGTAGCATTATAGTATTTGATTGAAAGACCTTGTCAGAGCTAGAACTCATATTCATGAACTTATGTTTTAAACTCTGGGAATGATTAAACAGATAGAAAACTTAAAAGTAGGTCTCCTTTATTCCTACAAGTCAAAGCACTGGATTATTGACTATTGCTAAGTTTGTTACAATTGGCTTGTATATAGTAACACTTCAAATTTGTGTCTGGATGCGGTTGTATATGGCTTTCTTGTTTTCTGTGCATTTTATTAATCTGATATTCTACAGGCAGATATATGGCTAGATTATAATTTGTAATCATTAATATTCCACTGGATGTTTGTAGCTTTGCATGAAAAAAATCTATTATGCGATATAGGTTCCATGTTGACAAGATGTCTTCAGCTCATGTTTATTTGAGGTTGACTAAGGGTCAGAGTATGGATGATATACCTGAAGGTGTACTCGAAGATTGTGTACAACTGGTGAAGGCAAATTCCATCCAAGGTACTTCCTGCATATATTATATCTTTTTCTTCAAATTCAATTTGATGCTCTCCTGATGTATGAACTGTGTGAAGTTACTTTTTCTGTTACACTGACATAGGGACAAACCAAGAAAACCTATCAAGGTCTTCCTCTGATGTTTATTTTTTGAATATGAGAACAGTAGAAAATTAGTTATGTTTGCACACTGCATTCGTGCACACTGTATTTTATGTTTTTTCAAGTGCATCA